AACAAAAACAAAAAACACTGTCTAAACTTCCGCTTTGACGAGTGTACCATCATTTATGTCCGCCAGCTCTCAGGTTCAAACACTTTGGTTCCTACCGTCGTTTATACGGGTTCTTCTTCCGGGCACGTTATTGTTGCATCAGCATCCTGCCTTTGACTACTGTGACAATGTCGGCTTCGGGAGATCCGGGTACAGTAAATAATATATGGTGTTTGCTTTATGGGTTCGTTAGTTGAAAAACCGCATAAAGCTATGACAGCACAACCTAACGCATTTTGATGAAGTGTCACAGCGAATATGCTAACGCTCAGGCTAGCTAATATGTAGAGCTGTGTCCCAAAGTCTGCAGTTGAGCCGCTTAGGTAAAGGAAACACTGTCAATGAGTGACAAGCCGAATTTCATATAAAAAATACAGCTTAAACTAATACTTAATACCTCGGCATAAACACAGGGCAGCAAATACTATTTAGCAATTTGTCTGCGTTTAGAAAAGGTAGCCTCATCTTCGGCTCATTTATCCAGTCAAACAGCATGTTATGAAGTAACTACAGTTTATTCTCTTTTATTTGTTTATAGTGTTTTAGTGAACCTGTTCGACTCTGTGTGATGTGTGGGGTGTTTTTGTTGAACTGTGGTTTGTTTAAGTCTATTTTCGGGTTTAAGTTCCATCTTCTTTCGTGTCATCGCCTTTTTGTTTGATATTTTTACAAAGGTTTATGGAAAGCATTGAAATTATTATTATTACTAGTAGTAGTAGTATAACTTAGCCTGTTATGAGAAACACTGTTAACGTTTTCAAGTGCTTACTGTGATTTTTACTCTCAGGTCAGTAATTTAAATTTTATACAGCACAACAATGAAATAAAACAGTCGAGGTGTGATTAAAGTGTAGACTTTAGCTTCAAGTTAAGAAGGAAATGAACCTAAAATAACTGAAATTGCTTATTAGTACGTTCCTAATTTACCTTTAAACCAGTGAAACCTGACCCTTTAAAACATTGGTAACAGTAACAGTTTTACCAATATATTTGCTGTATTTATTTTCAGCCCCTCCTGTCCAAATACTTGTTGACCTGCAGTTAGAATTACAGCTCAAATAGTAATACAGTATGAAAACCACAGGTTGCTTCTGTAAGACATGTAACCTGCACCCTTAATTACATTGTTTTCCTCCATCTTTTGCTTTCTCCTGTTTCCACTCAGTGCTTGCACCTCTTTTGTTTTCTTATACATATATAAGGTTCTCTGTGAGTGGCTAAAGGCCAGTGTTATTCAGCATTAGTTCTGCTAGGCTATGTTTGGTAGCGAGTAGTTTCATTTAACTCACTCATAAGTGCAGTTTACATCGGACGTGTGCTGACTTTCCAACTGATCGAGTAATTCTTGGCTCTGACCAAAGTCATTAGTCTCATTGGTTATTCCACTGTCCAGTGGAGTAAGGTGGTAATTCTTTGCGAACATTTGCCCTCTTGTTTCTGCAGCCTTTGAGTATGGCTTCTTGCTACAGATAAGTGAGGAGGCTGCACTGACAGTGGCTCTGAATGACTACCTAACCTCACGCAGCTACCTGGCTGGGTTCAGCCCCACCCAGGTCGACCAGAAAGCCTTTAAGCTCCTCCACAGACCCCCAGATCCACAACATGTCCACGCTCTGCGCTGGTACAGACACATAGCAGCCCTGCAACAGGACCTCAACCCAGAAAGCAGCAGTGAGTAGAAAGCTGAAGGCATGAACAGGCTAGATGTGGTCCTGCGCCTGCTGGCCGTGGATGTGGAGGCACTCCGAGGCTGTGACGTGCCCTCTTAAACAAACTGACTCTCAGCATGAACTAAGGCTTCCTTTGCAGGCACTGGAATGAACTCTGTTTTAGCTTTCACTTTTGATGTCAGTCATAGCAACTTGATGTGTGTGGTACCTGCAGCTAAGCGCTGAGGAGACTCGCGTTATCGCTGTGTAAACACGGCAGCGACAGCTGGTGAAGACCCCACAGGCAAATACTCTTTGTTCCCATACCTGGCTAAATAGCTTAATATTAATAAGGACAGTCAAAGGAGCTTGCAAAGAAAAGCGTCTGGACTTCTTTAAGTTACTTGAAGACGTTTCACCTCTCATCCGAGAAGCTTCTTCAGTTCAGTTCAAGAAGCTTCTCGGATGAGAGGTGAAACGTCTTCAAGTAACTTAAAGAAGTCCAGACGCTTTTCTTTGCAAGCTCCTTTGACTACGATGACCTGGATGACTGAGAACCTTCACAGACATTAATAAGGACAACTTTACAAAAAATGTAAAACATCATGAAAAGAAAGAGTAACTGATGATAGAACACAGAAATGTTTATTTATTAATCTAAATGATGTGTAAGAGCGTACTTGGTTACGTGGCTGATGTGAGTGGGAGTGAAATTAAAAAAGCCAGTAAATAGTAAATTTGACCTATTGTGCTCACTTTCATTACTGTATTTTTATCCGGGGACTCCAGTGTGTTGTTTTGCTTATCTGAGTGCAAAGTTGTCTTATGCTGTGCCAGTCTCGGATGTCTAGACTTCCTTCATTTCTTTCACCTTCACTTTCCATTTAACTCTGCTGTGTTACTGGAAAATTCCATTCTTCCATTCTTCTTTACAAGGACACAGTAGACACGATAGATGTAAGTTTGGGGTCTGAAAGGTGAAAACCAGAAATGCTTCAAAACTGTATATTTTTGTTAATTTATTTTTACCATGTGGTTGTTAAAAGACTTCTGGTTCTGTAGACATCTGGGGACAGCAGCCTCCCTCACTCTGTGTCCTCAGTGGAGTCCTGGGGAGTTCTTGGGCTTACCTGCTTCTTTTGGTCTCTCCAAAAGAAAAGAGGGTTATCAAGGATATGTTTACCAGCTATGACCAGTGACTCTGGCCATGTTAAATAAAAGTGTTGACCATTAGCAATCTTAAGCACAATGTGTCCACTTGAAGTTGTTTTTTAACTAATCATATGGGGTATCTAACTATTTTTAGATTCCATATTCTAGCAGGGTTGCACTGCTTGTGAACAGTATATGTGCTTTCCCTTTGTGCAGACTGCATCAACTCTTTTTCTGATGCGCTGTGTGGATGTTGAAGCCTGCCTTTGAGCAAATATTTGACTGGAAATTGAAGCTCAGTAGGTAGAAACATTGACAGACGTTCAGACTAAAGAGGAAATATTTTATTTTGTTGACACTGATGAAGAGGAAACTTTATTGTGTGTCTTTGATAAGAATGGGATGATGAGAATATTTATATTTATTGTTAACTACTGTTGAAATATCACACTCCTCAGCACTGCACTAGAACCTATAATAGATTTCTGTCATTGCTTTACTCTAACTATTTCAAGCAAAAATAAATCCATTTACATGTGTCACAGTTTTAGGGCTGCCACGATTAGTCGACTAGTCACGATTAGTCGACTATCAAAATCGTCGACGACTGATTTAATAGTCCACACGTAGTTTGAAGCTTTGTAAGATCACAAAAGCCGCAGGAATAAGTAGTAGGATTTAAGAGTGTAATAACGGACTGAAACAGAAGAGGGCAGCACTGCATGTACAAGGATGCCAGCTGCCGTTAAACCCCGAAGAAGAAGAAGAAGCTGTGTCCCAGAACTCATAGCGCAGCCCAGCTCAGTTTCCAACAATGGCGGCAGCTAGTTAGTTTTAATATTACTCTTATTATTCTTTCTGCGTCACAAAATAAACGTTTAACATATTTTCAGGCGAGAATGTAGCTGTGTAAACCTCAAATATCTGCTCAGTTTATCAAGACACCACATATTTTCAAAAGCGCCCTTCGGAGACGTCTGTTACCCACTAGCTCGATAGCTAGCCGGGGGCAAGGCTCACTAGAGCCGTGAGAACACCGGACTCCCGGCAAATCGTTTTCAAACCCACCGCCTCTTTCGCTACTCAGGTTAAACATGATATATAAGTCACTTAGATAACTTCAAAATGTTATTGTTTGGCTTTTTTCAGTATTTTATTTGTTCCTGAGTAAATCGGTTTGGCTGAGATTAAAGTTATAGTTTTTACACAGCTGAATAAACGTCAAGCAGACAGCTGATCATCAGAAGTGTGAGATGCTCGAGAATTTACTCCGGTGTCCTGTTATATTTTAGATAGCAAGGAGTTTATTAAACTTCACCGAAACAATCTGCAAATTTCATTAAAATTTAACAAACTATCATCTTGTCTTTATTTTTAGTTAGCACATACCTTAAACACTTAAAGCTGTAAGCTAATGATAGTTATATAAGAGCAGATGCTGCTGGTGCAATAAGCTGTACGTTTTACGTCCAATGGATGATGATCTGATTAGTCGACTATCAAAATAATCGTTTGTGGCAGCCCTACACAGTTTTCAAACCATTATCACAGCATTGGGCATCAGTTCTTTGCTCTTTCACTGTCTCATGTTATCTGACGTGAGCTCTGAGTCACTGTCTTATTGGTAGCCTTTATTGATTAGTCTTATTAATTAGCCCTAATGGAACATGATGTCACCAAAGCATCCATATGAATAGCTTCGACAGACATAGAACCCTTTTTCTTATGACGTGAAAACTGAAATTTTCCCTTGTTCCTTTCTTCTTTTAGTCAAAGGAAAGCGTGTCCAGCCTCCTTGGTCTCCACCAGCAGGAACAGATGTTCCTCAGCTGCGACTCTACAACAGCCTGACAAGAGCAAAGGTAGAGACGAATGTAAAGCCCACATCAGTGCTGGTGTTGCTGGGAAATGAGGTCCTCGTGAAGTCGCTACATTAGATACCGCAACCCTCAATGTGTATATAGCCACAGGCTGGACAGAGTCAGTTTTATTTATACTGATGCAGTGATGTGAAATTGAAACGATAAGCTATGATTTGCAGGCAAATTAAGATTATGAGGCCTGTTAAAGTTACAAGGGATTAATAAGGGGCTGCAACAATTCACCGAGTAACTCGAATAACTTAAAAAATAATTGATACAAATTTTGTGCTTTGGCGCTTCGTTTATTACACGAAGCATCTGTAGCTCTCGGTTTCTGCCATGTAAATGTGAGCGTTTCGCCCACATTTGTGACTAAAAATTGGAGCTGCAATAGAAACGTATGTAGGAGCAGACATGGGAATAAAAGTATGACAATGCACGCCATCCATTGGACAGGTGGGCAGCCTGATGCAGGGCGAAACCACTGAAGCAAAGTTTGTAAATCAAAATGAAATTTTAAAAAAGTTCATGGAAAAAAACACAATTCTAAAGAGTCTGTGATCGTTACTGTACAACTTATAAAAAGAAAGAATGCATATATATTTAGATTATTTCATTCAAGTTTTTAATAGTGACAGGATTTAAAGCCTCACTGTTTTCCAAAGTATGCAATCCAGGTATGATTGAAAGAATTTATAGTCACATTTCTTTTGACAGATGTACTCTCATTCTTGGTATAGAATGCAGCACTTTCACTTCACATTTGTAGATTTAATGCATATTTTTATAGTCTGCTTGCATTTTGCCACGTGCACACACAACTGGTTTCCAAATGATTTTAAGTGTAGTGAGATGGTCTTTAGCTTATGGCTCTTTGTGGCGCTGATAAACATGCCCGTATTTCTTAGATGAGCGTTAGTCTGGCACAACCAGACTGTTCTGGATCAGGAAGAAGTCTCGACTGAAAAAACAAACGTAGAAATATAATGTCGGATTATAATATTATTTTATGCCATGTTAGACCCCTAATTAAAGATTGTGAATTATTATGTAGTTTTAGTTTGCATTATTCTCCTGAACTAGAAGAAGGTGATAACTATTACATTTGGTAAACTGATCTGCATTACATTAGACTGCTGATTTATTGTGAATGAATGATATCGTTTTATAATGCATTATACTGCTGAGTTATAAGAAATACTGTTCACAGAAAGTCATCGCCTTATTTGTCTGATTAGAAGAGAACAGAGCATACTGCCCCATCTCAGCAGGAGCAGATAAACAGGGAGCCAAGGTCGTAGCTTAGGCGCTGTGTGAGAAAGAATGTGAATGTTTAGGCTTTTATGATTAGGTGGGGGCCACTAGAGGCTATAAGAGTTTGATCAAGGCTCCACCGTTTTGAGATCTGATGCTGTCTGTGTATGGTGTCCATCTCCCACGCGTGTGTTCATTAAATCATCGTTTGACTCAACCCGGCCGGACCAGTGTTGTTATTTTGGTTTTCCTCTTGTATCCATCCCCAATATTTGAATCTGTGACAATAACCATCTATGCAACCTAATCTCTCGCTGTGGCTCTTGTTTCTATTACACTGCATTTAAAAATCCCGCTGCCACCAGTAAGATGCATTTTTATCAGATTTTTTTATTTTAAAGTATTTGTTATCCTCATTTAAGTTCATAACCTCCATGTTTCAGGAGCTGTTTGTTCCTCAGAAAGGGAATAAAGTGACATGGTACTGCTGTGGTCCTACAGTGTACGATGCCTCCCACATGGGACATGCCAGGTAAGCAAGATCAGAGGAATTTAAGCACTGAAATTCTGGGTTGGAAATGATCCTTCATATAGTGAGACTGTTACATTTGTTTCTATTACAACAACATTTTAATGAATAATTTGCTTTATGCAGATCCTACATATCCTTTGATATTCTGCGAAGGATACTGAGGGACTACTTCAAGTATGATGTGATCTACTGCATGAACATTACAGACATAGATGACAAAGTAAGTCTGCTTTGATGTGTTTTAGATGTTTTTAATAAAGGTTTTTGCATGAAATGTGGGAGATGGGTTGTCCAAGCTCATCTGTGTCTGTAATGATTAATGTAGCCCTGTTGAAATAAGTGCAAAGTCCTTGTTAACATTCACATTTTCACACATCTGTGTGTTTATAGGCATGCAGGTAAAAACAGGTGCAGCTTGTAAGCTGACATGTCTCTGAGACGTTATGGCAGGAATTCAGTGTCTTGTGATGACCTGATTAGACATGGGGAAAACATAAATGTACACATGCAGGTTTTCAGCTGCTCATTTGTATTTGTTGTTTTGTAATGGACTAAACGGGCGACGCGTCAGGACTATAGGACAGGCCAGTTTAGCACGCAGACTGTCCTGCTATGGAGCTGATGTTGCAATACATGCAGAATGCTTTTGAACTTCTGGAATAAGCAAACTCTGCTGTTTTGGTTTATTACTGGGATATTCTTCTTTCAGATCATTAAAAGAGCCCGGCAGAATTACCTTCTGGACCAGTACAAAGAAAAACAGCCACAAGCAGCTCAAATACTGCAGGATGTGCTCAGCGCCAGAACGGTGAGACAAGGTTAAGCCCTGGGTGCACTGCACCTGTGTGAAGTACTTATTGATCTGACAATGATGGTGTAAATCTTCTCTCTTTGTTTTCATTGATCGCACAGCATGTATCTCTCTGGAGATTATTGGTCATTATTTACAGAGGCAGATAATTAAAATAACACAAAACAGAACTGTGCAGTACTTAGTAAAACAGATAAATACTGCATTAATGTTAAACATTTATGTCACTGAGTTTATAATATCAGAAGATCTAGTTGCTCCTACAACAACTCCGCTCCATCGGCAGTCTCTGTTGGTTTCCCTACGGGTTGTATCAGTGTTTGTGAAGTAGCAGCTGGTTAGCCACAGCATGCACAAACACTAGACTCTATAGACACAAGCATTAGTATACCCTGTGCTGTAGCTAGTAGAAGTCCAAGCTTCAGCTCTATCTAAAAACAGAGACAAGCTGAAAGTTTGTTTTTTAATTTCTGTGGATTTCTGTTTGTTATTCTGCCAATTCCAGCCGTTTCAGGCCCAGCTGGCTTCCACCACAGACCCGGACAAGAAGCAGATGCTGGAGAGGCTGGACAGTGCAGTTACAGCCAGTCTGCAACCGCTGCAAGCAGCAATGGAGAGCAAAGCCGCAGATGAAGTCATACGACCTCTGGCACACGTGAGTCTGCTCTGATGTGGTGGCAACTTCAGAAAAATCTAACTAGAAATACAGAAAATGCTTTTTTTGTTTTTATTTTGTTTGATTTTTGTGCTTCAAAAATAACTGCAGCAGATTCATGGATAGATGGTCAGTGCTCTACATTTAGACAGTCACAAATACAACAGTGGGAGGACAGATTAGTGTTATTACTGCTTGTATTCACTGACACCATTTGGGATTAGTAACTCAGGGTTAGTGTGACTGATCTGACTTTCTGAGTTCCAACTAGGAACTAGTTTTCCCAGGTCTGCACCAAGAACTAATAAGGATCATTTTATCACTAGAATCCTGCAAAACTACTCTGTTAATAGTGACCACGAATAAAAGTGTGGAGCTGGAAATGAGCTCAACAAGTCCAATTAAATTGTCTTTTCTTCCCCAAGGTGTTGTTGGAGAATTCCAAGGACTTGCTGGCAGACTGGTTGGACAAACAATTCGGAAGTCACGTCACAGAGAATTCCATCTTCTCCCTTCTCCCTAAATACTGGGAAGAAGACTATCACAAAGATATGGAAGCACTCAATGTAAGTATAAAAAAGCCAAATGATTTTTTGATTTTCTGAGAAAATCTCTTAAAGGAATTAAATAAATTCCCCCTGTAAAAATCCAACACGTGTAAAGAAACTTTTTCTATGATAAATGATGTGTTCTGTCCACTGTGCTGCAGATTTAAACACCTGACACGAGGCTAAATCAAACGATTGTTAGCAAACACAGAAAATGCATATTCACTGTGCAAGTGAACTGTTCTGTGTCAGTGTGTGCACCATGATGACACAAAGTCAGTACTTTATTATAAAGCAGTTTCTCTACCAAACTTTATGGAGGTGAAAATTGTTCAGTTTTACTTGTGTTGTTTGACGTCACCTTTTCTGAGATAACAATGGCTGAAACTGCTCTGTCCAAACGTCTGTTACTGGAAGGACTATGTTTAAAATATCATTGTTAAAATGTGATTTGAAATCAGCACTTTCCTGCTGTGTCTGGATTTAAGTTGTCATTTTGGCACACAGGTTCTTCCCCCTGATGTCCTCACTCGAGTCAGTGAATACGTGCCTGAGATCGTGGAGTTTGTGAGGAAAATAGTTTCAAACGGTTATGGGTGAGGAAGATGCTGCCGCTGTTCACGATTTGTGTCGTACCAAACGAACTGCTTGCATCGCTGTCGCTACAGTTGTTTGTTTCTCTGGTGTTTGCAGGTACGAGTCAAACGGTTCAGTATACTTTGACACCTTGAAGTTTGATTCCAGTCCACAGCACTCGTACGCTAAACTGGTGCCGGAGGCGGTCGGCGATCAGAAAGCTTTACAAGAGGGAGAAGGTACACTTACTCAGTTTGTCAAAGTAAAACAAGCA